GGGGGGGGGGGGGGGGGGAAGGGGAAGAGACAAAGCAAAACACAGCTAATTCTGGTCACATTGCTCAATATTCTGAAGCTGCCCAGAGTTTTACCCTGGATGAATAAGAAGAAAAAAAGAAGGACAGAGACTAGAAACACTGAATGCAAAGTTCAAGAGCAGGAGTGACCCACAGAAAAATCAGCCAAGGGCTGCACACAAGGGAGAAGCAAAAACAAAACAAAACAAAAACACCCTCACTGGCGTGGACCCCCAACTAAGAAGAAAGACACTCCCCACATTCCCCTTGCACACCAGAACCTAGCTAACAGACTTGTAGATTTTGTGTGCTCCACCCCTGTGGTTGGGCAGGAGGGGGGTGGAGCACCAGCGTGGGCTCCCCAATGCTAGGGGGAGCTCTGATTTACAGGGGCCAGATCCAGGCAAGTCGGGGTCTGCATACGGTCCCTGGGCCTGAGGTTTCCCACCCAGTTCAAGAGCTTTACAGAAGCTAGCTGCTGCTCAGATCAAATTGAAACATTACCGGATGGGATCTGTTGTTTCCAAGGGCTGTCCATTTGGATTACATATCTAGGCAACAGCAAGCTGTACTTTGGTCAACAGTTCCTCACCCACCTCCCCAGTCTTGGACTCTTTTAGGGAGCACCAGACTCTCAAGCAGAGTAGCCTTGTTTGTCCCCTCTCCACACTGCACTTGAATATGACTGTAATTGTAAACCTCCATTATGTGGGATCTATTAAAAGAGAAGAGGCTAAAACTAAGGGTATGTCTACACAGCACACTTATTTCGAAATAAGCTATTTCAGATTTTTTTCTGAAATAGCTTATTTTGAAATAGCATGTCTATACTACAGGGAAGCCTCAAAATTAGTCTGACGCAGGCTCCCCTAAAGTGGACGTGCTACCTCGAATTAGAGCCCCAGGAGGCACTGGGGAATAATTACTTTGTATGGCTCTGGGGAGGAGCTATTTTGAAATAGCAGCAGTGGAGTGTCCACAGTACAGTCATTCCAAACTAGCTATGTCAGAGTAGTAAGTATTATTCCTCATGAATGAGATTTACAGATTTTTGAAATAAACAATCCATTATTTAGAAATTATTTTTGAAACAATGGAATTGCTGTGGAGACACTCGTATTGTTATTTCAAAATAACAGTTGTTATTTGGAAAAACTGTGCTGTCTAGACACACCCTAAGGCTACGTCTATATGGCAATGCTATTTTAACATACCAGAGTATCCTGAAATAGCTATCCCACATCCTCACGGCAAGCCCATTATTTCAAAATATAATGGGTTCACTATTCCGATGTCTCTCATTCCACGAGGAGTACAGGATGTTTCGGAATAGCATGTTTTTTTGAAATGATAAGCTATTTCGAAATAAGATTAGCAATTTGTGTCGGTGAAATTGTGTATCTTATTTTGAGCTCCGGTGCAGTATGGATGCACCCTAAATGTGTCTTAGCCTAACGGTAGCCCCCCTTCTGACGTTGGAACCTCTAGAATTCATACTTGAAATTTGCTTAAAGCGTCATACTCTGACTCCAGAGGCAAGTCAATTGCAATAGTTTGAGCAGCTTGCAGCTTTGCCTTTGGAGCAGGGAATTTGTTATAAAAAGAGGGAGGGGCAGGGAGATTAAGAATAAGAAAAGGCTGGGCATTCAAGCAACTGAAGGATCATTAGATCATCATGGGTATGTCTACACTACCCCCCTAGTTCGAACTAGGGGGGGTAATGTAGTCATATGGAGTTGCAAATGAAGCCTGGGATTTGAATTTCCCGGGCTTCATTTGCATAAATCCGGCCAGCGCCATTTTTAAATGGTGGCAAGTTCGGACCCTGTCCCGCGCGGCTACACACGGCACGGACAAGCTAGTTCGGATTAGGCTTCCTAATCCGAACTAGCTGTACACCTCATTCCACGAGGCACGGGGTCCGAACTAGCCGGCATTTAAAAATGGCGCTGGCCGGCTTTATGCAAATGAAGCCCGGGAAATTCAAATCCCGGGCTTCATTTGCAACTCCGTATGACTACATTACCCCCGCTAGTTCGAACTAGGGGGGTAGTGTAGACATACCCCATAAAAACATTGCCAGTACTTCACTTAAAAGATATGAGGGGGGGGGAAAAAAAGAATAGGAATGAGTGTTGTGTTGCTGAGATTTGCATTTGAATCTCTGCTGCTTTATTTAAATGTTCTTGGAAATGGGGTGAATAATGACTTCAATGAATCCAAAGCTGACTGCAAAGAGTTACAAAGGGATCTCACAAAACTGGGTGATGGGGCAACATAAGGGCAGATGGAATTCAGTGTTGATAAGTGCAAAGTAACCCACATGGGCTAATACAATCCTAACTATAGATACACATATGATGGGCTCTCAAATAGTGGTTACCATTCAAGAAATAGATCTTAGAATCCCTGTGATACTTCCCTGAAAACATCTATTCAGTGTGCAGTGGCAGTCTAAAAACTAAAAAGCTAACAGAATGTTGGGAATTATTAGGAAAGGAATACATAAGGCAAAACACCATATTGCCTCTTATATAAAGTAATTCTATGCCCACATCTTGAATACTGTATGGAGACCTAGTCACCCCATCTAAATAAAAAATTTATTGGATTTGGAAAAGGTACAAAAAGGGCAACAGAAATGATTAGGGAGTAAGGAACAGCTTCCTTCAGAGGAGAGATTAAGAAGACTGTGACTTTTCAGCTTTGAAAATAAATGACTAAAGGGTAGTGGTGGTGGTGGGGAGATATATTAGAAGTCTAAAAAATCATGAATGGTGTGGAAAAATAGAATAAGGAAATGTTATTCATTCCTTCACTAACATAATACAAGAAGCTGACCCAATTAAATGTATAGGCAGCAGATCTAAAGCAAGCAAAATAAATTATTTTTTCACAGTCAACTTGTGGAACTCTTTGCCAGGAGATGGTGGAAAGGCTCAAACCATAACAGGGTTTCAATAAGAACTAAATACTTTCATGTAGGTTAGGTCCATCAGTGGCTACTAATCAGAATGGGCAGGAATGGTGTCCCTAGCCTCTGTTTGCCAGAAGCTGGGAATGGGTGATGGGAAGGATCATGATGATTGCCTCTTCTGTTTATTACTTCTGAAGCACCTGGCATTGACTGCTATTGGAAGACAGGATACAGGGCTAGAAGGACCATTGATCTGGCCCAATATGCCATTCTGATTGTTTTATATAGATCTGAAATGTATGTGCCCCCTTGCTGTAATCCATCAGAACCCAGTCCCCTCCCACAGAGTTAGTAACAAAGTAAGAATATATATTAAAATTTTAAGGCTAACAATTTTCCCTTAGGTGACTTGCCACAAGATGTCAGAATATGTTAGTGTTAGAACTGAGTGGGTCCAATATTTATTTAATTTTCTTTCTTTTATATAGGAATTAGATACAGTGCTTCTGTGAGCTAACTATTAAGTTATCTGCCAAAAAAGCAGAGTTTTCCAGTGCCTTGGTAGCCCCTGGATAGAGACAATGTGTATGGGGGGAGGGCAGATGAAGTTGATTTTCCCTTCCCCGGTTTGGCGCTTGGCTCGTACTGAGCATGCTCAGTATCACTGCTGAAGCCGCTGTCCTCAATCTGCCTCCCATGCTCTCATTCTCTCGTCCCACACCATAATGGCATGCATGGGTCAGTCCCCTCTACCAAATTCTGAAATAACACCCCTGTATCCAAAGTCTCAGGAAATGCAAGGCCTGCAGTGTTGGGGGAAGAGCCCCACCCTTACCTGGTGTCTTTGATAGGCAGAGAACATTTTTTCAAAATCCTCCAGATCCAACACCTTGAAAGCCTTTAAATCATCGATTTCATGCCAAATGGTGCCATGAATCTTCTCCTACAATCCCAAAAAGAAAACCATGCGGTCAGGAGATGAACCACAGTGAAAACTTATAGCTAACCACAACCAGTTTCAGAAAGGCATACCCAGCTCTTGCATCCACTTGGCACAGCAGATGCTGCTGCTGCCATTTTGGCGAGCATGTTTTGTTTCTGGAACATGTAGGAGAGTTTTCTAGTCCAAAGAGAAACAGGAATACAAATGACAGGGCTGTTTTTTTAACCTGGGCATTTTGCAATTTGCATTACATCGGTCCCTCTTTTAAAATGCCGCTTTCCACAACTAGAATAAATTGTTGCAGATACCACTCAAAGTCCCAGGTGTATGTTTCCATCCAACAGTGGCAATTGCTGCAGCAGATGAGCATGATTATTGTCGGGGCTTGACGAACGGCGGCGAAAACCGCTCGCCAGCCCTGTACTGCACATGCGCAAGAGCCGCATTGCGCATGCCGCGAATGAACGGGGCACGCAGCTGAAATCTATTCACCATGGGCAACTAGATTTGTTGAGCCCTGATCACTGTGACATACTGGGGACTATATTCATTGTTTTCTTTGTAATGCTGGAAGTGAGTCCTACTGCCTGTGCTGCTCGTGAGTGAGTGAGTGAGTGTGTGGTATCCAGCAGGGGATGGTATTCTGGGGTGAGAACTCCAGAGGGAAGGCATGTAGGGAATGGCCCAGGCCGATCTGCCACCTGATCCTAGGGGGAAGATGCAACCAGTGATAGTCAGATAACACCTGGGGCCTGGGAAGCAGGACAAAGGAGGAGGTGGGGCTGTCTAGAGGGCTCGGACCAGTTGCTGAGTGTACAGGTTAGTTTTTCGGCTGGCTTAGGGAGAAGGGAGTCTAGCTGGCTTGCGGTGAGGGGGATGGGCAGGAGCCTAGAGCCCTGGCTCTGGGTCTGCCTATCCCCAAGATGGAGTGTGCTGACCGCTCCGGGTTCCTGTAAAGAAAAGTCTGTGCTACCTTGTGTCCCTGTGAGCCAATAAACCTTCTGTTCTACTTGCTGGCTGAGAGTCACGTCTGGCTGCGGATGGGGGTGAGGGCCTGGTGACGCCTGCACACAACCATATTGCAGCAGGGGTTGCTGTCATAAGAAGAACTCTAATGTGTGGAAAATCCCAGACACAATTCTCTCCAGCAGCAGATTTTGCAAGAGCTTGCTGCAGACCTTACCTGGGTGTAGAATACAACCTGTGCATGAGTCAAGGAGTCAAAATTTTCCCCTCCAAGTGACTCCCTCCCCATCTTGAAAGGCAAATAATCTCCTCTTGGACATGCTCCCCGTCTACACGAGAAGGTACCGATGGGTCTCAAACAGATGTGATCCAAATTTCAGCCTCTCAAACAGCTGCACTGACAATCATATTGGGGAAAGCAGCAAGACGCAGGGCACACTTTCCCCATCTGATGGGTGGTAAGCATGAAAGAATCACCGGCATGGGGAAGCCAGATTCCCTCTCAGTACTACATGCTCACCACTGGCACAAGGAAGCTTTAAAAACCCTCTACGTTTTAAAGCCAGCTGTCATTCCAAGCTAGGAGAAGGATTTTGTCATCTTTTGCAGACTCAGCAGAGGCACCATGTACCATTGAACACTCCCTAGAGATTGAACTACATTCTCCTCCCAAACTTTGTGGCAGGGCAGTGTGGGGCAAGCTTAGTGCAATCACTCATTCAGAGAGGGCTGATGATGTGGCCTCTTTGAATAGCACTCCACTGAGGTGAAAAAGGTCAACCTGCATAGAAAGAGAAATAGAAACATTCTGGGGGAAATCTTGGAGATGAAGGCCCAGCAGAACATCACCATAAGAAGGCCTTGAGGACAGGAAGTAAGGAAAGCCAATGAAACTGTCCCTATCAGGCTCTAGTTCTGAAGTATCTAAAGTACACCAAGGCAGTAAAATGCATTAACACTTCATTGTAGGAACAGGTTCTGCTTCCTAGTCACACTCAGAGGAACAAGCGAAAAGTTATGAGCCACAAAGCAGAAGCAAGCAGAAAAAACCTGAAGTGGGGACAAAGAAAAGGGGGAAGCACGAATAAAAGAGAGTTGAAGCATCTGAAGGAAATTCCTGACAAGGTAGAAAGCACAAAGCAAAATTACCCTCCTTCCTCTCTTGAGGCAGGTTGTGGACGCCTATACATAGGAAGGAGGAGCAGTGTGCATGAGAGATACACATCACAGCTCTAGAAAGCCTCCTGAGTGGGAGGAGAAGAGGGGGTTATTCACCTTGGCTATAACTAATGTTCTCCAAGATGAGCATCCCTGGGGGTGCTCCACGGCAGGTGTTGGTGCATCCCAGCACTGCAGAGCAGATTCTTCCTAGCAGTGCATTGGGGGCTGCACATGCGCTGTGTGTGAGGAGCACGGTGCCCTCCAGCACTACTGCGCATACCCAGTCGCCCTCCCCTCAGTTCCTTCTCTATCCAGAATCTGGCATGGTGGAAAAGATTTTTTTTTTCTGGCTCCAAAGTAGAAGGGAGGAAGAGAGGGTAGTGGAGCAGCCCCAGGGACACTTTTCTCGAAGAACATCAGTTACAGCCAAGGTGAGTAATCTCCCCCTCTTCTTCTTCAAGAGGTGATCCTCAGCAGGTGACTTCAAAGCAATTTGTACTATGGAGCTAGGAGCTTTGGATCAGGAAGGTAAGCTGTCTTTAGTAAGGCCTTTGCTACCCTTGTGGAGTGCAGAGGGCCGATGGAAAGCACATAGTGCTTAGTGAAAGTTTGTTCTGATGTCCATGTAGCAGCAGCACATATTTCGTCAATGGGAATCTTCCTCAGGTAAGCGACTGAAGTGGCGACCGCTCTCATGGAGTGTGCACGGACTGAGGTAGGTGGTGATAACTAAGTCAAATTGTAGCACATTGTGATGCAGTCAAAGATCCAATGGGATAGTCTTTGATATGATATCTGATGCCCCTTGCTATGCTTTGCAGTGTATTGTTTGATGAAGGTGGAAGGCAGAGCGTACTTTGGGTAAGAACTTTGGATGCGTCCATAGAGAGACTTTGTCCTTAAAGATGGTGAATGGTGGGTCTGCCATTAGGGCAGCCATCTCTCCCACCAGACGTGTTGATGTTATTGCAACTAGGAATGCTGTTTTGAGTGTTAAGTGGAGAAGGGAGCATGTAGCTATAGGTTCAAATGGAGGTTTCAGGAGCATTGTTAGTACCAGATGTAGGTCCCACAGTGCCTGTGGGGCAGTAACATCAGGATATAGGGCATGTAGGCCTTTGAGGAAGCACTCAGTTTTGGGATGTGCAAAGACCATAGTGTTATTACTACTCTAACTGAGCTCATGGAAAGGTGGGATTGCTTGAAATGCAGTAAGTGTTCAAGGATTGCAGGCAGAAGGGCATCATCTGGCTATATGTTACAGGAAGCAGCCCAACATACAAAATGAGACCATTTGTGTCTTCCTCATTGCCGGGGCCCTGCTGTGAAGAAGCACATCTCGTACCTTATCTGAACATTGTAATTCTATGCCTGTGAACCATTGAGGTACCATGCCTAGAGGTAAAGCATGAGAAATTGTGGATGGGGAGCTTTGGTTCCTGGTTGGAACAGCATGCTCAGGTTGTGTGGGAGTGTGAATAAGCGATTTACGGTCATTCTGTTCAGAAGGGGAAACCACAGTTGCCGAGGCCAACAAGGTGCTATTAGGATAACTCTTGCTTTGTCCTTCTATACTTTGATGAGTACCCCATTGAGAAGGGGAAAGGGAGGGAATGCATAGAGTAGGTGATCATCCCACTTGAGGATAAGAGCGTCTCTGAGTGAGTGCTTTCCCATGCCTGCCCTGGAGCAATAAAGTGGGCACTTTTTTGTTTGTTCTGGTAGCAAATAGGTCTATGTGAGGGTAACCCCAATGGTACAAATATATTTGCCAGAACTGAAGAGTCTATCACTCGTGATCCTGTGGTAGGGTTCAACTTAGGGTGTTGGCTGTGGTGTTTAGGTTGCCGGGGAGATGGCATGTGGTTATGGAGGTACCAGTTCCAGACTGTTATGGCTTCTGTGTATAGGACATGGTGGGATTGTGTTCTGCCTTGTCTGTTTATATAAAACATACTTTTTTGTGTGTGTATATCTCTTCCGGTGATATGAGGTAGAAAATGCTGGCATGCAAGCCAGACAGCCCTGAGCTTGAGGACACTGATGTGTAGTGTCCTTTCTGCTGGAGTTCATATGCCCTGGCTTGTGAAGTCTTTCATGTGTGCTCCCCAGCCCATAAGGAAAGCGTCAGTGGTGATGACCACTGTGGGTTCTGAGGTTTGAAAGGGTATGCCTCTACATAAATTGCACAGTTTTGTCCACCATAGAATTGCACTTTTTACTGTGTTGGGGACTGACAGTGTTTTGGTCAGAGAGTGTAGGCTGGGCTTGTAGTTCAATCTGAGCCATCCCTGGAGGCACCTCATGAATAGATGGGCACTGGGGACAATCGGATTGCAGGACACCATGTGTCCCAGGAATTGTAAACAGTTGTGGACTGTGATGCATGGCATTATGTGGAGCAATTGGACTAGCTTGCAGATCCTTAGGAATCTGTTGGGAGGCAGTGGCCGAGGCAGGGCTGAGGTGCACCCCAATAAATTGCATTGGCTGAATCGGTGTAAGGACTGACTTGCTCTCACTGATTAGGAGTCCCAGAAATTGGAAGCAATGTTGTATCAGATGGGTGCAGCAATAGGATTTTTCTTGAGTTCCTGTCTTGATAAGGCAATCGTTGAGATATGGATATATATGGTAACGTCCTGTTTTCTGAGGTGGGCCGTCACCACCGCTAACATCTTGGATAAAACCTTCAGCCTCATGGAAAGTCCAAAGGGTAGCACCATATATTGGTAGTGCTGCATACCTAGGATGAAACGGAGAAACCACCTACGAGTAGGTTGAATGGACACATGAAAATATGTAAGTCAAGAGATGAAAACCAATCACTGAACTCCAGAGCGGGGATAATGGTGGCTAATGTAACCATTTTG